ACGCCAAGTCTCGCCCTCGTTCCCTGGGCCGTGCTGTTACGTGTGGTTCTGTTGTGTGGAGGGACCTGATTTCCCCAAGCTCCAAAACAACAAGTCATGTTCAAAGAGAGCTCTGACGTACTCAGCACAACATTTACCAGCTGGCTGTTTGCTGCACCATTTTCCACTCCCAAGTTCTTTTCAGAGTCTTGGAATCAGCCCAGAGAGAACAATAGGTGCTTTCCCTCCCAGAATTCCCTGGACAACCGATCTGGGATTCCAAACCTGGAGGAAGTCAGTCAGCAATGCCATGGGTGTGCATGCGCCATTCACGGAAAAAGGAAAAAAAGACAAGTGGGGAGTTTTCCTGAAACAGCCCCCAGTGGTATTAAACCTGAAGCTCCAGGAACCAATGTAAAGGCTCTGCTCTCACACAGTGACTCCGGATACTGGGAGCAACCTCACCCACTGACAGGAGGCAGGGCTTGTTATTGTCTTCATCCCAGGGCTGGAAAGTGCCAGGAGGCGCCAGGAACGTCAGCAGGGCAAGAAGGCTGCTTGAGTGTGACCCAAGAGACCACACGAGCCTGGCCGAAGAGCCCCCAGACTCCTCCCCTCCTCAAAAGCAACAGAGCAGCAAGGATGGGGAGGGGGCACAAGACCTGAGACCCTCTGAGCCACGAGACAGAAATGACCAAGTGAAGAGTCAGAACATCTGAGTCCAAATCCCACTCTGATGCTTACTACACGAAGCTACTTAACCTCTCTGGTCCTCAGTTTCCTCACTGGTAAAGGGAAAGACTTGAACTAGCTGGCCTCGAGGTCCCTTCCAACTGGAGACCTATGATCCTATGATATGGGTTCAAATCCTGCCTCTGACGTTTACGACCTGTGAGACTTTAGGTCAGTTAGAACCTCCATGGGCCCTCGGTTTCCTTCTCTGTAAAATACGAAGCGTTAGACGAGCTGACCTCTGAGGTCGCTTCCAACGGGAGACCTGTGAATCCACAAGCAGAATCCAGTCACCTCAGAAATCATCCCAGGAACAAGGCAACAGCCAGGTCGGTGCAAAGTGCCCCTGCAGGCCGAGCTCAGCTGCTGCTCCTCCAGACAGCCTCTCCCTTAGCTTAGCCAATCAGAGAATCGGAGTCAGAGAGGACCTCAGACACCATCCAACCCAACCCAAACCTCCCCCAGAAGCCCCTCTCCACCACCCTGCCAAGTGGCTGTCCAACCTTTGATGCCAGACAACCCCAAGTAGGGAGGCCCACTCCTGAAGGACGGCATTGGTAGCTGGGCCCTTAATAAGGGCTGCACCGTGTTGGATTCCATTCTGCTTGTGAACAGGGATTATTTTTACCCTTCTTTGTATCTCCACTGCTTGGCATATAGTAGATGCTGAATAAATGCTTATGAATTTGACTTGCTACGTGTCCTCTGCAACCCCCCCAACAACTCTCTGTGGTTATTCAGTCACGTCCAACTCTCCATGACCCTGTGGACCACAGCGCACCGATACCGTCCATGGGGTTTTCATGGCAAAGGTACTGGAGTGGTTTGCCATTTCCTTATCCAGTGGATTGAGGCAAACAGAGATTAAATGACTTGTCCAGGGTCACACAGCTAGCAAGTGTCTGAGGCAGCATTTGAACTCAAGTCTTCCTAACTCCGGGCCCAGTACTCTATCTGCTGAGCCACCTGACTGCTTCCAACAATTCTCTAAGACGATAAATCCCCCGACAAGCTGCAAATCTGCATCAGTGGGAGGAGATGCCATACTAGGAGTGAATTGAATATGAGTTCCCTGAGGGCAAGGATTGCTCCTTTTTGGTCTTTGTGTCTCTAGTGCCTAGCACAGGGCCTGCATATGTGGCCCATGGCTCTGAGATCTCTTCTGGGTCCTCTCCTCTCCAGTGATGCAGCTCCCCACCTCTGTCTTCCCCAATCAGGCTCAGAGCCTTCCTCCATTTTGCCTCACATTGTATGCACGGACTTCACCATGAACAACACTTGAAGCAAAGCATACTTCTCTCGTTTAAGAAAGAGGGAAAGCCAAGCTTTCGATGCTGCGCGACAGGCCTGGGGCTTCCCCCTGAGTCCAGTAACATGGACAGAACTGAGGGGATTCAGATCCCTGGCACTGCAGCTCCAACCACACATTCTCCCCTTCCTTTTCTTGGAAAGGTGGGGGCCTATGGGTGTGAAACACTACTGGCACTTTCAGCTACAAGCTATTTACCGGTTGGTCTTGCTTAACTACCTTTTTTTTCTGTTTTTATTAAAAAGGCTGGTTCTCTGGATAGGAGAGAGGGCAGCAAGATATTCAGAAATGACTGATGAAAAAATGAAACCAAGAAAAAATTTAAAATAGATTCATAAAATAAAAATGAAAGGCATCAATTAAACAAATAAAATGAAAAGACCGTGAGTGCTCCACCTCCCTCAACCCATTAACATTAAGGGTATCAAAGTTCATTTTTCGATAGCACTTTAAGGCTTCTGATGATTTCCTCACATAAGAATCTAAGGCAAGTTATTACCCCGTTTTACAGATGAGGAAACTGAGGCTCAGAGCAGTTAAAGGACTGAGGCAGAATCACACAGCTGCTACATGTTCGATCCAGGATGGGAAAGCCCAGTCTCCTGACTCCAAGTCCAAAGGCTCTCCCCCTCCCCCAGGCTGCTTCCCCTAAAATTACCAATCTGGCCCAATGCCTGGAAAACTCCAACGACAGGAGATAGGCCTGTTAAAACCCATTAGGATAATGTTCCAAATTAAATTGCATTAGGCACAACCGAGGAAACACTGAGGGGGTGGGGGTGGGAGACGGGGGAAGCCTCCTAAGTACATTTTCCAAAAGCCCTCCAAAGAACTCAGGGCACTTTAAGGCCAGATCTTCCATGGTGGTGAGAGGAATCTGGCACCATGAGAGAAGTACACATACATGAGTAAGGTCACTTGAAGGTGAGAGGCAGGCAGGAGGAGGCATCCTCTGGGCCTTGAGGACCTAGAAGGCCACATGTGGCTTCAAGACACAAAGGTTCCCCACCCCCTGCACCCACTCAGCGGCTGATGGACCTTTGCTCTCACTCTTCAAAAGACCTGCCCCTGACTCTCCTCTCCTCCAAGAGCCCGACCCAGCCTTGAAGGCCTCATTCTTGCCAAAGGAGGTCAAGGAATGAAAGGATCTCACAGACAAAAGTGACGTCAGCACCCATCACTCAAACAATAAGCATTTATTAAGTGCCTACTCTGTGCTAAGCAGGGTGCTAGATACAGCTCCAACCCAAAAGAATCCTCACTCCAGCACTCTGACGACAGGCCATCGGGCCTTGGCTGCAGGACCTCCGAGGAGGGGGGAGCTCATTCCTCCTGAGGACAGCACTAACCCTCAGCAAGGTTGTCCTCAAAAAAGCTCTCCTCAATTTGCGTCTGCGACTTCCTCTCCTCCTCTTAGAACTGAGTACATCTAATCGCTGTTCCAAATGACAACCCTTCAAACATGAGACGTCAGCAACCTTGGTAGCCCTGAGCCCTGACTTCCGGCTAAAGTGTCCTCAACAGATCCCAATACGAAAGAGATTCCAGCCCCTCTGCAAAGTGTTGATGTTTTTCCAAACAATATTGATCAGAGCTAAATACGATGTCAGGCAATCAACAAGCATTTTATTATGTGCCTATACTTAGCCTACTGGGCTAAGTGCTGGGTATATAAAGAAAGGCAAAAGACAGTCCCTGCTCTTAAGGAGATCCTGGCCTAATGAGGAAGATGACAGGTAAACAACTATGGACAAGACACATATGGGACAAACTGGGATAACCTCAGAAGGAAAGCATTAGCATTGAGATGGATCAGGAAAGGCTTCTTGTCAAAGGTGGGATTTCAGAAAAAGTCAAACATGATAATCACCTCTTATCTAAACAGTATGTCTCTTAATGAATCCTAAGATCTCATTAGTCTTTTATGGCTGCCACATCACACCATTAATTCATATTGAGGCTGGAGTCCACTAAGACCCCCAGGTCTCCAGAATCTTTCAGAATATGTTTCCTAGGTTGTGCCTAAGGCAATTTAATTTGGAGCATTATCCTAATGGGTTTTAACAGGTCTGTCTCCTGTCATTGGAGTTTTCCACTAATCTTTCCAAGATTAGTACACTTTATATTTGACAGTTGCTGGAAAAAGGGTTCAAGGAATCCCCAGGAAACCTCTAACACCTTGAAACCTTGGAAAAGTAGTTCAAGAGATTCCCTAGGAGCAGAAATCATCCAGGACTTGTTTCTAAAACCAAATGCTTTAGACAGCTGCCCACCTTCTGTACAAAGGTCGCCCTTTTTCAGGGCTCTTTCAAGTCTGATTTCATTGAGGAGAAAACCTCAATGAGATTGAGGCTAATGCAAAGAAGGTATGCCCTGAATTCTGTTTCAAGGTGTAGCACGAAGGCCCCGGAGCCCAAGAGGCTATGGAGAAAGAAGCCACATCTCAATAGGGCTGACTCTACTTTAGAAATAATTCTTTCAGGACACCAGGGAATGAATCCTCCTTCCCAATTCTGCTCCTCCATCCCCCAGCAGCCCCTCCTAAAAGGGTTGCCTCTCACTAAGAAGGAGCCTACTTTAAATTGCCTTACTTAGCTCCCCTCCATCCAGCCCTGGGCTGAGAGATGTGCCCTTTGCCCTATCTCTATGGCCTCTCTAGAGAATCACAAGATGATAACTCTATAGCTGGAAGGGACCTCAAAGGTCCATCTCCTTCATCTTACAGATGAGGAAACTGAGGCCAGAGCGGCTAAATGACTGAGGATCATCGATATAGAGGTGGAAGGGACGTCAGAGGGCATCTAGTCCATTTTCTTCATCTTATAGATGAGGAAACTGAGGCCAGAGAGGTTAAGCACTTGCTTAGGAGGTCACACTGGCAGTAAAAACCAGAAGTGAGATTTGAACCCGGGTCTTCTGTCTCCAGCTCCATTGTAGCACACATTAACCAGTCAAGGGCTACATGGTTTAAGTAACTTACGATGTTGTGAGTCTTGGCTGAGATGGTTTTGACACTGTCAGGGTCCCAGATGACTAGGTCAGCGTCAGAGCCCACAGCAATGCGGCCCTTCCGGGGATAAAGATTGAAAATCTTGGCCGCGTTGGTGCTGGTCACAGCCACAAACTGGTTCTCATCCATCTTTCCGGTCACCTGGGGAAAAGAAAAACCAAACAACGAAATCAGTGCCCCTGGAAGAGGATCACAATTCAATTCTGCATATGGATTAGATACCAGACTTGAAGTCAGGAAGATCTGAGATCAAATCCTGGCTGTGTGACCCCAGGCACCAATCAATGCTTCAGGCAAGTCTAGAAGCCTTTAAGCTACAAAAAAACAACTCATCTGCATCAGGGAGGGAGTGTCCACCTCGGGAAGAGCCCCCACTAAGATGAAAGCACAGAACGTAAATAAAGAAATAAACACAAAGGGCATACTAAATACACAGAGCAATTTTTAGAGAAAACACTCCCAAGGAGAGGGTGCAAATAAGGAAAGGCCTCATGTAAGGGGGAGGGGAAGACATTTTTATTGTGCTTTGAAGGAAGCTAGGGGATATACAGGTCAGAAGTAAGGGAGAACTATATTCCAGTCACAGAAGCCACATGGCAAAGACAGGTGGGACATGGGGCGCCATGTGCAGGGAAGCACCTAGCAGACTATCCACGCAGCTTCTGAGTCATGGATATAAAAATTAGAGGAGGGCACAGAGCCTCCCCGGGGATCTTAGAAAGATGAACAATCAAACCAAATTTGTCATGATATGAAGACAGGCCTGGCAGCCACAAAGTATCTTTTCACACAATGTTAGAGCTGAAGGGGATTTTAGCAATCATCTCATCCATCCCCTTTATTTTGTTGTCGTTCAGTTGTTTTAGTCACGTCCAACTCTTCAGGACCCCACTTGGTGTTTTCTTGGCAAGGATACTGGACTGGTTTGCCATTTCCTTCTCCAGCTTATTTAACAAAGGAGAACACTGAGGCAAATAGGGTTAAATGGCTTGCCTAGGGTCACACAGCTAGTAAGTTGTCTGAGGATGAATTTGAACTCAGAAAGATGAGTCTTCTTGACTCCAGGCCCAGCACTCTATCCACTGTGCTACCTGGCTGTCCTTCATTTTATAGAAGAGTGGACTGGGGCCGGAAAGTCACACAGTTTGAATCTTGTACTTACTTATCTTTGTACACGTTGTTTCCCTAGTAGAATGTAAGCTCTATGAGGGCAGGCCCCATTTCATTTTGGCTTTGTACTACCATCGTCTAGTACAACGCTGGGCACATAGAAGGTGCTTAATAAATACTGGCTGCCTCCTGGGCCAGCCCTCCTCTGTCCACTACGGGACGAGGCCTGTCAGGGCATATGTGCCTATACAGGCATTGCCACTCACCTGGAAATACCCATTAGAACGGAAGACATGATTTTTATAAGCATGATGTCCGGCTCCATAGGATTAGCCTTCAATGAGCAAACGTACGAAGCCTCCCTTACAAAAATGAGGACCATCAATAATCACCACAAGGGGTCCACCAAAAACCCAGACTCAACTTCTGGGATCCCCATTAAGGGGCAAAGCCAAAGCAGTGAGATCCCACAAGCATTCATTCAATGCCTACCATGTGCCAGGCACTGGGTCATAGAGACAAAATGGAAAATAAGCCCGGTCTCACGGAGCTTATATTCTACCGTTGGCATGCCACGGATGATCAGATAAGGACACCCACGAGAACTTCACAGGGGAGAAGCCCTCGTGAATCAATTCAGAGAGGAATGCCACGACCCCCAGGGCAGGGGACCCTCCCGCAACGGGGGATGCCATACCACAGCCTTATCCCAGATGACAGACATCCTCTCCTCAGTCCCATTGGTGCCCTCAGGAATCAGGGTGAAGTTATCCTTTCCCACAGCCTTCTGCGCAGTGTTAAAGGTACAGTGGGCACTGCCAGTGACCTGGAGATCCCCGCTGAAAGGCAAGTACCACAGACAATGAATTGGAGAGACGAAAGGAGATGAGAGAGCCCTGAACGCTTAAACCTGCTTTACCACTGCCATGTGGGATGGGCATGAAGAGACACCATTTCCGTCCACGTTTTTAGATATACTCTAGATCTACAGAGGTAGAAGGAAGGCCACCATTCACTTCCATTCCACCTTAGGGATATGTGCAAAAGTCCAGTGCATTGCACCATCAACACTGATTTGAGTGAGCCTGCCTTCCTCCCCCAGAAAGAAGGAAAAGTCACTGGAACTATTTATTATTTCTTTAGAGAACACTAGGGCCTGATGTCTACTGCTTCTCAGCAAAAAGATGGTGGCCTGCGGGAATGAAATGAAACATGCACCTTCAGACAAGGCCAATGATGTGTTTTTAGTGTTACTTGTTATGAGGGAGAGTGCTCTTGAAGAAGGGTGGAGTCACCAGAGATGGAGATTCTTTTTCTAAAGAGCATCAACAAAACATTTTGCAAAGATACCGGGGCTTCACTATGATACTGTCCTCAAGCAGGTAACTGGAAGCTCCTTAAAGGTCTAACTACATAATGGAGTTTATTGGGTTCCTCAGTAAGTGACTGAGATCATCTCCACAATGGAGAAGCCTCACAGGGCCAGAGTCACAGAATCTCTGAGTGGAATGGGGCCTCAGAGGCTAGCTAGCCTAACCCACACACCTCCCCACCACCAAAAAAAAAAAAGTCCCCACTAAAACATATCTGTAATTAACCAGCCTCCACTCAACTGTCCAAGTAGTTTTCCTATAATGCATGTCCAACCATGTAACACTCCCTTCAATAGACTCATTGGCTCCCTACCACCTCCAGAATTAAAATAAAACATAAAATACTGTTTCTGACTTCTAAAGTCCTTCAGAACCTGGCCCTTCTCACCTTTCCAGGCTTCACGTACTCTGAAATCCAATGACAGTGACCTCCTAGCTGTTTCTCAAAGAAGACACTCATCTCCAGACTCCAGGCATTTTCATTGGCTGTCCCCCTTGCCTGGAATGCCGTCCCTCCTCATCTCTGCCTCTTGGCTTCCCTAACTTTCGCAAGTCTCAGCTAAGGTCCTACCTTCTCCAGGAAGTCTTTCCCCATCTTGCCTAATGTTGGCGCCTTCCCTTTCCTATTTATTCTATGTCCATAGCTTGTTTGTACATAGTTGTTTGTACGTTGTCTTCCCTGTTAGACTATGGGCTCCCTGAAGGCAGGCACTGTCATTTGCCCCAGCCCTTAGCACCATACCTGTCACACAGAAGGTGCTGACTAAATGTTAACTGACTGACTTGAAGACCCCCAGCGGGATCTTCTAGGGCATCCCATCCCCTTTTTGGATGGCTATTCATCGTTCAGAAGTTTTTCTTTACATTTAACTCAAATTTCCCCCTGGAGCTTCTCTTTTTTCCTGGTTCTGTCCTCTGGCGTCAAACAGAACAATTAATATATCTCCTTCCTATGTCAGCCCTTCAAATACTTGAAGGCAGCAATCACACGCCTCCTAACCTTCTCTTCTCCAGACTGAACATCCCTCACTCCTTCAAACAATCCCCATGTGACACAGACTCATGGCCCTTGACCCTACTGATTAGGTTTCATTCCACAGCTAGTAGTGCTAAAGGCTTCCAGAGTGTAAATCATCCCTGGGGTCAGGCTGGTGAAATGAGCGACTGCCTGCAAGCCTGTTTTCATCTCTTAAATCCATCAAATGTGATCCCAGTCAGGTCTGTTAGAGAATGACGAGAAGAAAATGGCGGAGGGGAGCCCTGACGCTTGGGAACCTGGAGGTGTCAGGAAGTGTCCGCTACTCACCAAGAGAGCAAGGAGTTGAGGAAGTCAGGAGTGGTCGGGTCAGGGCTCAAAGGCGGAGAAGTGACAAAAGCCGCTGCCTTGGCCCAGTTCTTGCTCCAGTAGTGAGATCCATCCGTCCCTAAGCTGGCTGTGATGGGCTCCCCATACACCACGGTGCCTAGGAATTCCAACACCCCAACAATCAGCATCACCATATGATACCAGTCTCCCTCCCTCAGGCCAGAGGATCATAGAAGCAGACACATGAGCATCTCCTACGCCATCTAGTCCAACCCTCTTACTTTACTGATGAGGAAACTGAGGCTCAGATTTGCCCCAGGTCTCACAGCTAGTAAGGTCAGTGGCAGGATTTGAACCCAGGTCCTCCCGGCTCCAAGTTCAGCACTTTGACCACTTGACCATACTGCCTCTGCAAGTCTTCCAAACAAGTATATGAGCGTAGCTCTGGCCCTCTTTCCACACCTCCTAAACGCAAACGTCTCTCGCAGTTCTTAAAGCCAGACATTTCCCAGAACGGAATGCACCTCCTCTCCCCTTAGCCATTTCTGAGGCCCAACTCATCGTTTGATAAACACATTACACCACCCTGCTTGCCTCCTCCAGCCACGCCAGAGGGCCTCCCACCTCAGGAATCTCACAAAGAAGTGAGGGGGTGACTGAGCTGGGCAGGGTCCCAGGCAGCTCACTCCTGGGAAGGAGGAATAACAGCTCCCCAAGCCAGGAGGGTGTCAGGACCCTGGGGAGAGAGCTCACGGAAGGAAAGAATAAACATTCTCCAAAGCCCCGGCTGGGCTGGCCTCAGGCCTGTCTGTACGCAGCGTTCCCCAGGGCTCGGCAAATATGCCCAGAATCTCACAGGCGGAAAAGGCTTCAGAGGCCTTGCGCTCTCCCTCAACAGGCCTTCCGTCCACAAGCAGCCAGGAACGCGGTCATGCGGCCTGCGCCTGAGGCCCTCCGGGCACGGGCAAGCGGCTGCCTGGGAGGAGGGCAGCCCCCTCCACCTTTAGCCAGCCCTAAGTGCTAGGGCGTGTCTTCTGCATCAGACCTATGGTGCTTTCTCTGCAGTCTGGATGCCTGGTTCCTCATTCTGGCCTCTGGGACCAAAGAGAAACAGTCTCTCCGTGTTGCCTTCCCTGGTTTTCCTGATCTCCCCAACCGCAATGTAATCTTAAGGGCAGGCTCAGCCTCCCTTTCCATCTATACTTCCAAGATTTATCACAATGCCTGGCATGTAGTAGATGTCTAAGAAAGGCCTTTTCTCTTTTATTCATTCAAATCGAACCCTTCTATATGAAGTCTTTCAAATGCTTGGAGAGAGCCAGTAGGGTCCACCCGAAATCTAGAGGCAGCACGGCTTAGTGGGTAGAGCACTGGGCTTAGAATCACAAGGAAAACCTGGATTCACATCCCACCTCCAACCCTCTCTACCTGTGGCTGGAGGCGAGCCACAGCTTCGCCAAAACTCAGTTTCCTCATCTGTCAAATGAGATTAGACTAGATGGCCCTTCTCAAGTCCCTTCAGACTCTAATTATGTGATCTCAGAACCCCGGTGCCCTCAACCACCCCTCAAACAGCAACGAAGACAATGATGATGATGCTGGTGGTGAGCAGGGGAAGAGAGTATACATTCGATTTCACCGGTACAGGGAACTCCTGGGGAAGCAAGTTCCTTTTACTAACTCAGGTCAATACTTTCTCTGCAACTGAAAGAGTGACCTGGGGCACTGAGAGGTTAAGGGTCACACTGCCTGTCCAGGTCAGAAGCCAGGCCAGATCTCTAGCCACTATCCCATGAAGCCTCCAAATAGTAATGATAATTCACATTTATATAGATAATATTTATATATTTAAGGTGTACAAAGCATTTTGCATGTTAGCTCACTTGAGCCTCACAACAACCCAGTAAGGCAAATGTTATCACTATGCCCATTTTACAGAGGAGGAAACTGAGGCTCGAGGAAGTTGTCAGCCAACAAGCATTTATCAAGCACTGACTGAGCCAGGCACGGTGCTAAGGATATAAAGAATGATAAAAACAGCCCCTGCCCCCCGAGGTGCTCATATTCTAACGGAGCAGATGTGTAAAACTGGGTACAAAATACAGAACAGATGGCAGGTAATCTGGGAGGGAAAAGGAGCGAGGGGAACCAGGTTACCCAGAGTCACAGGGCTAGTAAGTGTCTGAAGGCAAGATGTGAACCCAGGTCAGAGCTCTCACCATTCTACCACCCAGCTGCTTCAAATGTGCTAGAGTGGACAGAATGCTAGGCTTGGTCAGCAAGACCTGAGTTCAACTCTCACCTCTAATACTTCCTGGTTGTGTGTCCCTGGGCACATCTCTCTAAGCCTCAGTTTCGTCATCTGTCAAATGAGGGTAATAACAATCCCTATATTGCCTGTCCTCATGAAGTAGTTAAGAGGCATGTATGAAAAAAATCCAAATATACAAAATGCTTTGCAGACTTGAAAGGGCTGGGGAAATGTCCCTGTGATCTCCACGCCTATCAGCATGGGGGAGGGGGGCATTCCCAGGCTCTCAGGGGCCTCCAAGTCAGGGCTGGTTTGGTGGCCTGAGCAAACAGCTCCCTCCTGCTCCTCCTTTATGGACGGGGTGGGAAAAGGCGCTGGAGTGAGAATGAGAAAGCCTTGGCTGCTGCCCAGCAGACTTTATGAAATGCAAATGTTGGGGCTTCCGCCCAGGGCCCCCCTCGGTGGTTCCCACAGCACAGCTGGAGCCCTGAGTTTTTGTTGGAGCATCAACCCAAACGGGGCTCCATTGACCAAGTCTCTTGAATGCACTGGGGGTGGGGCAGCATTCAAAACTATTATCTAACTCAGAGCCTCAGAAGCCAAGGTAGAGAATAGACTGCCCATGAGAGCCTCAAAGGGCACAGAGGCCACGGTATAGACTGCCCAGCACCCAGGTGGCACCAAACTGACAAATCAGAACTCTGGTAAACTTGAAAAAGAGAAGGAAATGATCCCAATGCAATCTCCCATACTTCATTGCAGAGCTGAAGGCTGCTGGGGAGGAGAATGGTGCATACGCTTTCAGACATGGCTGAGACACTGGTTAGTTTTACTCAACTGCTTTCTTCCTCTTTCTTTTTTAACTATACCAGCCTTGCTTGTATAGTTATAATTATAATTTTCTTTTTTTCTTTTTTTTTGGGGGGAAGGCTGGACCTGTCATTTCATCAGTGTAAGGCATTCCCCACACCAGTGCAGTCAAGACTGGGTATGGAGGTCAGGGTAACCAGTATCTCAAGGGCTATCAAGAGGGATTAGCTTTGCTCTGCTTGGCCCCAAAGGGCGGAAGCAGAAGTGCCCACTAATGGATAAGCTATATGGGGATTCCTCTGGGGTGTGGCTTGGGAGAATGCCAAAAAAGGAAATTCCATTTTATTAATTCCTACTCAGGCAGCACATCATCTCTGCCCCCAGTAGAATGTAAGCTCCTTGAAGGCTGGCTCTATGGTTGTGTCTTTGTGATTCTGGTGCCTGGAACACAGCAGGAACTCAATAATTGTTGGATTGAATTTGAAAAACCTGGGTCTCACTTAGGAGGAGAAGGAAAAAGAAAGAAGAAAAGAGGAGGAATAAGAAAGAAAAAAGGGAGAGATGAAAGGGGAGGAAAAAGGAAGAAAGGATGAAGAAGGAACAAATAAATGAGAAATTGAAATAATAAAGAAAGTGAGAAAGGAAAGGAAAGAGGGAAGAATAAAGGGGAGAAGGAAGAGAAAAAAAGAGAGGAGGAGAAGGAAGGGAGGGAGGGAGAGGAAGGAGGATTTTACAAATCAATTTTCTTGTCACTACAACACTGTGAGATAGGTAGGATGAGTATTTTTATCCCCATTTTACAATCCAGGAAGGCTGAGTCCTGGAGAAGTTAAGATCCTTGCCCAAGGTGACACAGCTAGGCACTGTAAGTGAGGGGATGGAAATCCCCATCTCCTGATTCCAAATCCAGTGCTCTTCCCTGTTAGGACCCTAGGTTTAGGGCTGGCAGTGACCTCATACCAAAGCCCAGAGAGAGGAGGTCACTCGCCCCAGGCCCAGATTCACTCAATGCCTCTGACCCTGGCTCTGTGCTCTTTCTACCTCGCCTGCCTTTAGTAACTTCAGTAAGTGGAGTTTTAATAACTTAGCAAATGGACTTATCACAAATAAAAGAGTAGCTTGTGGGATGGTAGATTTAAAGACAGAAGGAACCTTAGAGGCCCTTGAGTATAACTCCCTCATTTGACAGATGAGGAAGCTGAGGCACTGGAAAGATTAAGTGACTTAACTAAGGTCAAACAGCTAGTAAGTGCCTGAGGATGGATCTGAACCCAGGTCTTCCTGACCTCAAGCCCAGAGACCTGTTCCGTATCCCGTAACACCTCTGTCCCAAAGGTCCTGGATCACTAATAGAAAATAGCTTGAGTACTAGGGGCCAGATCACCCCTGTACTGAACAAGAATGACTTCGCATCCTCACCCCATCCCCCCCCACACCCCTTCAGCCTTATCAAGTCACGGGGGAGAAGGCTTCTGGCTACACAATGTTCCCCAGAGGAATTCCATGGCCAGATGGAAACTGACGTCATAGGTATACGCAGGGGAGGGTTATTTAGACTGGATCGAATTAAATCCAAGCCTGGCATAGGACAGGGAGAAGACAGGGCCTGCCCACCCATTCTCTGCAGTGTGGCAGCTTTAAATAGATGCTAAACAAGGCTTCGGGAGCGGAACGAAGGAGTAACCTGAGCTCTGGGCCTCAGTTCACTGTAATTAGGTTAATGCTGGAGCGTGATAAAAGTAGCCGGCTTGGCAGGAGAGGCTGGAAAAGGCATTGTCTGCCCAGTGGGAGTGACCCGGCCTCCCCTCCCACCAGCCCGCAGGCCGCACTCACCCTTCTTCCTGGCCTGGGCGATGACCTCAGCAGCACTTTTGCTCATCACCTTCGTGATATACAGCGGGCAGTTGGTTTGGTTGGCAATGGTAATCGCCCGGTTCACAGCCTCAGCCTCGACCTGCAAGACAGCATCCACGTGTGAGCCGCTTCTCTATCCCCCCCCCAAATCCTGTTGGAATCCATGGGGTACACAATCATCACAATGATAACTCCCCTTCTGAAAGCATGCCCCACCCAATATTCCTACAACTCTAATCTAATCACATCACCTCTCTACTCAAAGAATCTTCAATAGCTCCCAACGCCTTCTAGGTTGTTGTTCAGTCATGCCCAACTCTTAGTGACCCCATTTGGGGTTTTCTTGGCAAAGATACCACAGCGGTTTGCCATTTCCTCCTCCGGCTCATTTTACAGACGAGGAAACTGAGGCAAACTGGAAGAAGTGACTTACCCAGGGTCACACAGCTGGTCAGTGTCTAAAGTCAGATTTGAGCTCAGGTCTTCCCGACCCCAGGTGCCACGTTCTAGCCACTGTGACGCCTAGCTGCCTGCTTGCCTCCAGGACGATATACCAATCAGCGTAGCAGTCAATGTCCTCTACCGTCTCGCTCCTGTTTCATCTCCTCCCTATGCACCTTTGCACAGGTGGTTCTCCATATGTTCCCTCTCCATTTTAACCTTACAGAATCCTTACCTTCCTGCACAGCACACCTCGGGGCCATGCCCTACACCAGACCTTTCCTGTGGTCCCCCAAGGGTTCGTCCTCTGTCCTTCTGACTTTCTGTGTACTTTACACACGTTAGATTTGCTTATCAGCACACATGCTGTGTCCCAGTGCCCTCCTCTCCTCCCTCCACCCCCAGCCTGGTGCAAAATCAGCTTGTGGAGAGCACAGATTGTTTCATTTGTATCTGAAGTGCCTGATACAATGCCTGGCACGTTGTAGACGCTACAGGAACGTCTGGGGAATAGAATCATTGAAGTGGTTGGCTTCCCACAGTTGAGGCTGGAAGGCACCTCAGACATATTACATCCAACCCACTTCATTTTACAGAAAAGGAAACTGAGGCTCAGAGAGTTTAAATGACTTCAGGGAAGGAGATGGGAAAGTCTGATTCCCCAGGAAAATTCTCAGTCAGCTTTCAGCAGAAGCTGAGGCTCCCATGAACACCGAGTACTAACAGGAAGAGGGAGGATGGGACATCGTTCTTACGCAGCAACCAAGAAAAGGCACAGATGGAATTGAAGGAATGTGGACACAGGCACAGAAAGAGATGAAATGTCAGGTACAGGACTGATGCAGTGAATGCAGTGAGCAGCCCGCACTGCACTCCAAGAATCCCGAGGAAAACTAGGCATGTACAACTTTCTGCAGAGGAAGAAAAGGAATATGATAGAGCCTTTTCATAAACGAGTGATCAAGAGATGTCACCTCACTGTCCCAGTGGACAGAGCATCGGCCCTGGAGTCAGGAGGAGCTCGGTTCAAATCCAGCCTCAGACACTTACTAGCTGTGTGACCCTGGGCAAGTCACTTAACCCTGATGTTTCCCAAAAAAAGAGAGAGAAACATGTCACCTCATCTGTCTTCTACATTAATGGTGGGTGTTTGGAAATATTTTTAGTTATTATTAGAAATTAACATGAAGAATTAAAGCTGGCGTTGGAATCAGGAAGACCTGAGTTCAAATTCAGCCTCAGACTCACTAACTGTGTGACCCTGGGCAAGTCACTTAACCTGTCAAGATTCCCAGCTACCGGCAAGTTGCCAATCTGCATTGGTGTAGGAAGCTTCCACACCCGGAGTTCTAAAATCAGTGAAATCACAAATCTAGACGCCCACCCCCATGGAAAGTGAACCACCCATATAACTGAGGAAATTTGCTTTGCAGCTATTTACACACAAATAAATTCACTTCAATAACTGAAATGTCAGAATTTTCTCTCATTCCCTCTAAGCCTGGAGGCTTAGGATTCTTTGGCCATGTATTCCTTGTCCCTTTTCCTCTTCCAGATAACTGAGGCCAAGGAGTGCTCTATTTCTCCAGGCCTCTTTTCGATCATATTAGCGCATAAAGGGCTTCCCAGATTTCTTTGTGCTCTTTCTCTCTGTTGGCCTTGAGAGCATCAGAGGATGCCACTGCGTGAATGGGCCACGATTCATTCACCCCCCCACCCCCCACTCCCACTGCTAAGCATTTGAACTGCCTGCAATTTTTGACCATTACAATTATAACTGGGATGAAGATCTTAAGTGTTGTAATTATTTTCCTCATTTTTGTTGCATTCTTAGGGAATGCTCTCCAAAAGGATTCATATTATATGTGTGTATATATATATATATATATATACATATATATACACACACATATACACATATATAGATACATAGATTCACATATACATATAAGTATGTGTGTATATACACATATATGTCTCCACTATCCCCCAAACACTGAGTTTCATTGGTTTTAAGTTTCTTTGACAATTTGATGTACATTAGGTACAATCTCAATATTGTTTTCATCTGCATTTCTTTGATCGTTACTGGGGCTGGGCATTTTTTCAAGGCATTATTAACAACCTGTGTGTCCTCTTTTGAAAACTGTCTGCTCAAATCCTTTCCCACTTAGCCATGCCTAATGGTGTTTGGATTGGGTTTCTTCTGTGTATAGTTGCTGTTTTTCATGGGGCATGATGTGACCCATATTATATCTAAATTGGTATAACAGACCACATTCTAATGAGATTTTATGGTAGCTTGGCCTAGAGTTTATACTTAGGGATTTTGCAATTGGCACTTTTGCTTGACAAATTCAAGCTGATCTCATCACATTCAGCCCCGCTATATGATACAAGGTCAGTAAATTAGGAAGCCAACAGGTTGAAGACACGGAAGGATTGTTTATCAGCTTATTAAATGTTCTGATGCCCACAAAGCTGGGGGAGGCAATGAGTATCATAGATGACAGAATCAGGACCCCACCCCCAAGAGATCCAAAGGAAAAATGGGTCAATGAAATGCAATGAATTGGGACAATTGGAAAGTCCTGTACTTTGGTTCAAAGGAACAAAAAAGCTACAATAGGAAAAAAAAAAAGCTACAAAAGTGTGCTTTAAAGAACACACTGTGGGGACAGCTAGGTGGCGAAGTGGATAGAGCACCAGCCCTGGATTCAGAAGGACCTGAGTTCAAATCCGGCCTCAGACACAAAACATTTACTAGCTGTGTGACCCTGGGCAAGTCACTTAACCCCATTGTCTAACCAAATTAAAAAATAATAATAATAAAGAACACACTGTGTGACATTGAAGGATGAGGGCGTGTCCAGGGGAAGGCAATGGGGAAGAGAGGAGCCTACAGTGATTGGTTTTGTTTTCCGCAAATTTCCGTGACTTCCCTGTCTTGTACTTGTAAAATTGATTTTTTCTAACCCAACTGGAAGACTTTACATTAACCTCTATTGACTTTCAACTCATTAGAGCAATGCTGTAATGCTCTAGCCCGTCAAGATCCTTTTGAATCCTGATTCTGTCCAAATGCTAACTGTTCCTCCTTGCTTTGCGTCAGCTGACAATTTGACAAGCATGGCATCCATACTGTTGAAGAAGTTACTGATAAAAACATTAAAGGCCACCGATCCTTGAGGCCCTCCACTGCAGACCTGCCTTAGCACTACTGGCTCGCTCTCGGAATCTTTATCTGGGTATCCTTGGGCTCATTACCCCCCCCTTTCTGGGCCTCAGTTTCTTCACTTGTAAAAGGAAATATTTGGATTAGATGACTTCTACCTTCTCTTTCAGTTCTCAAACGATGATCCCACACCCAGTGCCAGGCACATAGTAAATGTTTGTTGACTGGCATTCCCACAGAGATTTAAAGTTTCCAAAGTACTTTCTAGACATCATTAGACTCAAGTCTCACAGCAGACCTAAGAGGCAGGAACTCCAGGCATCATTACTTCTATTTTATTGATGAAGAAAGGGTAAGGGACTTGCCCAGGGTCGCGCGGCTAGTAAGTGTCTGAGGCTGGATTTGAACTCACATCCTCCTGAGTCCAGGAAGCGCACTCTTTAGCTGCCTACCAGCTGTGGTTCCAGGGCTAAATAAAGTCGGGGCCTCCTCCTGATCCAGCTTTTCCTCCTCCCAACAGCGATTGCCTTTGCCCCCTACCCCTCCAGCTCCAGCTCCCGCCCTTCTCCTCCCACACAAGTAACTTAGCTCTGAATCGGCCTGTTCAGCTCAGCCTCCGGGGTTCTAGGGGCCCTCCCTTCCCGGGCCTCTTACAGGGAAACATGGGGCCTCAGAGCTCGGACCTTAGACTGGAAACAATCAGGTCCAAGAGTTCTCAAGTTCTTATCTCAGATTATCTGGTGCTCTGGGCAAACTGGGCGCTCTGTCTGGGAGACGGGCCTCCAGCTCTCCTGCCTCTGAGTCTTGACTAGGGCCGGTCCTCTAAA